GTGTCCAACCTCAGGTGCAAACATCACAGAATCGGTCTCTGATTTTTGTTGAGAATGGGGTGGCTGAAAAACACTTTTAACCTTCATGTCAGACAGTTGTGCTTTTCTGTGGTGGCAGGAAAAGGGTGGAGAGGAGGAAGTGTTGACCTCAGAGCTGCTTTCAAGCTTATCTTTCTTGCATTTCCTTGGTCTGTGGGGTTTTTATGTCTGCCAGCTGGGACTCGTCTGTGTCTTACTTTGAAAGCTGATTGACTCTTTAGGATGCTTAAAAGACCCACATATACTGTTGCATTTGCACCAGATATGTTAAAAGTCATATTCTGTATCACATAGGCAATTGAAGCCACAAACAGAAATTGGGATGCATTTTCCAGTTGTTAGTCAACTAGGGATAAATATAAACATGAGAAAACATCTAGCTTGTTATTTTGATTCCTTCTGCATCTCTGCTCATCTGAAAGAGCTTGAAAGAGCACTGAAATTAGAGGAAAGGCGACAGACCAAATACATGGAGGAGCAATGCACACTGCCTCTCTCCTGTGAAAACGAAGATACAGGTTCTAGAAAGCTTTAGAGGCACAAAGCTTGTTAAATCCATGGCACATTTTTCAGAGGAAGCCAGATGTATTTAGGGAAATGTTGCTGGCAACATTAATGTTGCTTAAAAAACCCCACAATTGCTTTCTAAACATAGAATCATAGAATCATAGAATAATTAGGGTTGGAAAGGACCTTAAGATCATCTAGTTCCAACCCCCCTGCCGTGGGCAGGGACACCTTATGCTAAACCATATCACCCAAGGCCTCGTCCAACCTGGTCTTGAACACTGCCAGGGATGGAGCATTCACAACCTCCCTGGGCAACCTATTCCAGTGCCTCACCACCCTAACAGGAAAGAATTTCCTCCTTATATCCAATCTAAACTTCCCCTGTTTAAGTTTTAATACAGCAGTAGTTACTTTTATCAAAGGAAATTGTAAGATGTATTTCCTTGTTAACTGTATGCCTAGAGACTTTTTTTTTCTGTTGAAGAGTCAGCTTGACTTTTTGTTTAAACAATACCACAGGGTAACTAATTAGAGTGCTAAGGAGAACTGACAAAGTAGTAGCACTGGCAGAGAGAAGAAAATCAAAGCTTCCCCCTTGTTAGTGTCAAAATGTATGTGACTGAGTGACAACCTAGTTAGCTAATTCCATACAGGAGTTATTTTGCTTTGTGACCTCTGTTTTTAAAACCGTGGATGCATAACTTAGAGTATATGGAAGCAAGTTAGGTACACTTGCTGAAAAAGCATATCTTCCAAAGACTCTTTGGCAAGGCATTTAGACCCTCATGTAAGCTCCAGTTCTTCAATTGCCATGTTTGCTGAGCACCTGTGAAGACGTATCAGTTGCAGAAGACAGCCAATTCACATGCCTGTACTGCAAACAGTGTTATGCTGGCACTGTAATGTGAGCAATTGAAATGCATAAGTAGGTGAGTACATGGGATATCTGAGGCTAAAATAGACCCACTAAACATACTGAATAATTAGCTTTACTGAAACCGGAAGCAAAATACCCAGCATTTAAACAAGAAATGCTGGCCTCTTTTCTGTGTACATGAAAACTGAAACAAAATTCAGTCTTGGACCACAATCTCAGATAGGCTTGGAGTCCTAAATGAAAGAAAGGACACAAATTCAATAACAGAATTCAAAGCCTCCAGTAGGTTCCAGACTCAGCACGGGATGATACAGGAGAGTGGAGCATCTCTTTGCAAATCCTTATAAAAGTCTTATTGAAGGAACAGAGGGATTACATAGCTGGTTTTCATGTGTTAAACTTGTCTTTCAACTGAAAAGAAGGCCTAGTTGACTTCAGTGACAAAATAGGACTGTATTAGGCACTGAGTAGGATTTCACGACTTCAGGTTTATTGCACTTTATATTCCCTTGGGAAATAGTGGTAATTGCCTGTCTTCCCCTTAGAGAAGTGGCTTTGTACTGATCTGTACCAGATACTCTCTGCTTGATACATTATGTTCTGCAGAGCTGGTAAAAACCCTTCACCCCAACTTTTAGCATATTATTGTACTGCTTAGTGCTGGCATGAAATTAAATAGCAGCAGTTTGGGACTCATGCTGCTTTGTGCCCTTATTTTTTAATATTTTTTGTATTCATGGGTCCTGTCGTTTTATTATAACATCCTGCATAATATATGGGGTACTTTAGTTGAGAATAAACTGGTCATTCAGATTTTTTTATTAGTCCTTTTTGAGGCATGTCGGTCAAGTCATACCAACTGTAAAACACTGAGCAATGATTAATGAACCCTTTAGAGAATGCAGGTGAGTTCTGCTTCACATTACAGTTAACAGTTTTCTCAGAACATTTGTTAATGCTGTAAGCTTCCATATCTGGGAGATTTGCTATGTGCTGGGCCCTATTAAAACAGCCTAGTTTCCTGCTGGCAGACCATAATGCTTTAGAAAAATATTGCCAATCAGAAATGCTGGCCACAGGGTCTTACATAGAGTTTGTTTGCTTCTTGAGCCTCTTCTTTGAAGAATGCTGGGGAGCTGCAGTCCTGGTTCTTACTGCTGAGAGCTACTTCCTCTTGGGACTTCTGAAAACTAGCATAATGTGATTCAACTTGAGTATCTAAAACTGACTGCATGAATCATTAGGTAGTAAGCACTCTGGGGCCTCAGCCAGTCTTCCTGTTCTGCATTTAGGTAGCGTGTAAAATTATAGGGGTTTGGATCTGAGTGTCTTATGACCTATGCAATACTCTAGATATTAATAGTAGTCATAACTAAGGGATATAGTTTGTCTGCTTCTGATCTCATCAGAGCCATGTTTCAAATCTTGCAGAGCTGATTGTAGGAATTTAATCTTTACACCTCAATCTTCATTATTTGAGCAGCGGACCAGTCATTGTAGTAGCTACTCTGTTCCACACACAGCAGTTCCTCACAAAGTAAAATAAAAACAGTGAGATGGAGAAAAGATACTTGATGTAAATGCCATTTGAGTAAATGAAACATCTCTACAACTACCTGAAAGGAGGTTGTAATGAGGTAGGGGTTAGTCTCTTCTCCCAGGTATCAAGTGGTAGGACAAGAAGTAATGGCCTCAAACTGTACAGGGGAGGGAGGGTTAGACTGGCTATTAGGAAAAATTTCTTCACAAAGAGGGTGCTCAGGCATTGGAACAGGCTGCCCAGGGCAGTGGTGGAATCACCGTTCCTGGAAGTGTTCAAAAAACATGTAGATGAGGCCCTCAATTACATGGTTTAATGGTGGACTTGGCAGTGCTGGGGCAATGGTTGCACTTAAAAGGTCTTTTCCAACCTAGTTGATTCTATGATCAGGCATTGTAACTCTGCAGTGTGCAATTGGAAATGAGGACTTCTGCGATGTCCATGCAAACATGCCAGAAGGTACAATATTTTCCATATAATTATCTTAAAATTATATTGCCTATTCAGTAAAATTTTTGATTGGACACTGATTATCAGCAAAGCACAAGGAAAGATTAGGGGATGCATTGTTGCCCAAGCCAGCTGTTCAAAGATGACTCGAAGTCACAAGTTTCATTTAAAATATATAATAACTTGGGGTTCATCTCTATTTGCTGTCTTGCTCAGGGACTCAGATTTTTTTGGCTTAGGATCTGTAACCAGGCTGATGAAAGACTATTTTTATCAAGGGAGTTGAAGGTCATCTGTAGTCATGGGATTGCGTGAGTTAGCCTTCAGGAAGAAACACCAGATACTACATTATTTAGTGACATGGAGTAACATTATTGTCCTTTTAAATTGCTTTTCAGCACCAGGGAAAGATGACATTTCTAGTGATTCTTACTAAGAATGTGGATAGACCCTCTTGTTTCTGTGTTTTCAAGGAATGATAGTGAATCTTCTTTATAGCCATAGGGAGATCACATTTTGTGGCATGTGGGGGCAAACCATTTCTTAGATCAGCATGCTTGTGTGCGAATGCATGATTCCTTAATGGAATGCCCATGTTTCTCTGAGGGGGCTACAGGTGTGTCAAAGCAGGGCTTGCAAAGAGCAACCATGATTCAGGCACTCTCATGACACTGGAAGAATAAAAGTGAATGTTGCTGAGAACCATAAAGAATTACAGAATGTAACCATCCTCCTTTTAATCTAATCTTGGCGGCTAATCCTCTGTGAGCAGCAACATTTATGACGTTCAAAATGGAGTTTGAGTGAACTGATTCCAGAAGCTCATTGATGGCCTCAGTGTAGCCTAAAAGCCATGTGTTCTTAAATGTAAAATGCAAAACACAAAACCTCTGTCAGACTCTCCTCTACACTGTAGCTTGCAGAGGGAACTGGCAGTTAGCTTGTGTGGACTTTACAGTAGGTCTACAATCTATCATGCCAGTGGCCACATACTCAAAAGTGCTGAAGTTCTGAGCTCAAGGTTGGGACCTGGAGGCCTGTGAGCCTTATTTATATAGAAAAGGAGTACCATGACTATATCTACACTTTCTTCCCATTCCCCAGTGTGCAGGTTAAACCAAATCAGACTATAGAAGATTAATTAGACTAATATACCTTAACCTATTTCTCCTTACTGAACTGAAATTTGTGTGCCTACATCATCCTATTATTGTTGCCCAAAAGATATAAGATACGCTTATACACCAGAATGTTGCATGAAATTATGTTGGCACTCATCTAAAATAACAGTGAGGACAGAGCAATTCCACACAGAACTTGGGGTAAGCTTCTTTTGTTTAACTATGGTCTTGTCTGTAAACTTTACTGCAACTGGCCCAAGTTACACTGGCATAATGACTGTCTTAATCTGAGTTAAGATCCTCCTTGGGTTTGGGTATGGGGTTTGGGGTTTGCTTTAGTTCCTTCTGGACAAAAGGAAATTAAAATAGTAGTAATTATAGTATAAGAACAGTAATTAGCAAAGCAGTTAACATGATAGAGAAGGCTGCAGTTTTATGGATGGGGAGACTTGAAATCAGGCAAAATCAGAGCCCCCAGCAAAGCAGAGACTAGAATGCAAGGTCTCCTGGTCACTTTTTCACAGTTTATTTGCACCTATGTGTTTGTATAAATCAGGGAAAAGACCTATGTAAGGGAGAGAGGAGGTTGTCTTATTCTTGAGCCTGTGTGACTTTCACAACCAGTTTGTGGCTGTGTGCAACTTTTCAGATACTCAGACTCAGTAGGTAGGGCTTAGTTCTCCCTTTTGGTAAGCAGAATTCATGTCCAAGCCTGAGGATATCTACACTCCTAGGCATAGCCTAATCTGGGAGCATTTATTGATACATAATGCTAGATCTCACAAGCAATCTGAAGTGACATAGGGACCTTACTGACTGCTGAGCCTATTTGGCATAATCTGTCCTCTGCAGTGGGAAGAATAAGCAGCAGGTAACCATATTATTTCTAATGCCAGAAGAAAGTGGCCTGTATCCCAGGTAAATTTTTAACAGAAGGTGGAAAACTAATCTGTCATAAAGAATTCATTCTTTCCCATTCAGGCTATGAGGAAAGTTACACTGATCAAGATGCAAAGATTGCCAGAAGAAACAATAAAAGATTGGAACAATTGTGAATTGTGCAAAGACATAGGTTTCTCAGTCATAGGTTTTGGGAATGGTTTGCTGCCTAAAGGTAAATTTTCCAGTTTTTTTGCAGAAGCAATGCTGTGCTTGGTACTTTTTGTAAGACTTCAAATATTACAATTAGAGGAGGTGTGTTTGGTCCACTCCTTCAGGAGCTGGGAATCTTCCTGACTTAATGCCTACTGTCGAATGTCCAGTGTTACAATGAAATATTTCATAATGGCAAAGTATCTCTGGGAATATTGTGTGGATGAAATAACTTATTGATACTTACGTTTCACTGACTAGAAACGTTCTGAGTGGTATTACAGGATACTGCAGGAATAGCACCTGTAGCTGGAAGGGACTTTGTGTAAAATTCTCATGACTGCAAACCCTAATGAAACTTTGTAAGCAACAATGAGAAATATAACAGCAAAATAATAATTTAAAAAATAAACAAGGCAAACCCAAACACACACAAGCCCAACTAAGAAAGAAACTCTAAGAAAGAGTATCCTTTTGTGTGATACTTAACCATATTTCTCAAACTTGCATGTGATAATTATGTTTGAACACTAGAAGCCTTATTTTCATGCTATCCTCTATTTGCATGTTAACTAAGAAAAGGGCATTTGTCCTCACAGTTTCAAAAGCCTACAAAGCAGAGGAAGGAGATGCTTATGAAATCAGCAGGAAATTTTATCTGGTAAGAAAAACAAGAGTGTGCTATGGTCACATGCTTCTTTTCCAGCAAGAAGTGCTTAGAGGGGCACAGCAACCCATATTTTCTACTCATTGACTCACAGAAGTGAGTCTGTACAAGCCTTGCTGGCTGCCAATTTTCAAATACTGTTTCAGTGAAAATCACTTTTGAAATAAAAGGGAATTAAATTAATTGCCAGTTCTTGAAGCATTTATTAATAAAAGACTGGAAGAACTCCAGACAATGGAGGCGATGAGGCCTTGTTGTCCTCACTAAGAGGAAGTTATGGAGGCAGTACTTGCATACTTGTGCATATATGGATCTATCTTACCTCAAGGTGACTATGGCTATGTCTGTATTAGTGAGTAGCACTGTGCAATAGGAATTGATTTGTGGAGCTAAACAGTGCTAAAGGCCCAGTGTCTACACTATATGCTTTTTCAAGGTGGTTAATTTGGACTGGTTCTAGCCAGGTCCCATGGACTGACTGCCCTTTAGCAGCTGGAGCACCAAAGCTGAACTGATCAGCATATTTTTTTCTGGTTTCTGTCCAATTTTATGTTATTCTTTTCATAAGGAGGGTTAAAAAAAAAACGGTGGGAGGATACTGAAAGATAAGATGCCTGAGGAGAAAAACTGAAGTATGAGAATGGGTGTGCTTCAGAGCAGAAAGGAGGAAGCATGGTGAGAGGAAGAGAACAGGACTACTGAAAGGCCATCCACAGGGAAAGTGGCCACCCAAGATTAGAGGTAGTTTGCGGCTCACATACGATTAAATACAGACAACAGAAATTGGAACAAATTGGTGCTATAGTGAGTATAGCTCTTCATTTGTGGAAATGCTGGACTAGAATAGCTTTAATAGACTTCTCTGTTAGCTTTACCTTCAACTGCTGAGAAATTTGTGGCATACCAACTTTACCTTAATCATGAGTCTGATTTAAAACCCCAAATGGCCATAACAAAAGAAGGAGAGGAAATAGTGGGTGTATGCATGTGGTTCCTTATGTGTGTGTAGTTGATTGTGTCCTGTGGCTTTGCAGAGAGCTAAAGCATGATCCAGTGGATAAAACAGATCAGTAAAAGCTTAAGGCTTTTCCAGGCAGCTGTAACTGTTTTTTAAAGGTGGCCACTCACAGTGTAGAAACCTTCAGAGCTTCCACTCCACAGACAGAGGGAGAATGTTAATACCCAGGACTATTAACTTGAGTTTCAGATTTAACATCAGTTAGTTCCTTTAACCTCTGGCCAGTGTGGACCGGTCGTCTGCTGTAGATGGTGCTGGGAGATCCAAGTTTTAACAGAAATACCTGGGCTGTGAAGCTGTGCTGGCCAGGCAATGTACCAAGGCTGTGTTAGAGAAACAAACTCTTCGGGTTGGCTTTTTTTTTTCAGTTCATTGTAGTTCCTCCTTTCCTGAGGAGGGGTGGCTGGGGACACCTGATAAGAAGCACACTGAAAGCTTCTAGTGCTATGGAGATGGTGTTCAAAACTTTATGGACTTCTCACTACTGGTATTAGAAACCAGCTGGGTCAAGTGGCACAGACCAGACCACTCTTGTTTCCTGAAGGCATTTTCATTTGAAGAAATCATCAGTGCAACTTTACACTCATTGAGTAATTCAAGCAATGAAAAGTTTATTATTTGTGTAGCTATCTTCATTAACAATGTATTCCAGTTATTTCCTTCTTAGAGAGTGAAAGGGACTTTGACAGACTGTGACAAACACTTACTAGGTCACCCCAGGAACATGTTTCTGCAGTTGTCTGGAATCTTTGAAAATCTGAGTCATGTCATTTCCCAATTCAAAGTTTCACTGGGGAGCTCCTTCTTGTCATCTCCCCACACCCATGCCTGCTTGCACACCACAAAATGTTTCACATGTTATCACAAGTGACTTACCAGGGGCAACTGTTACATTACTGTAGACAATCAAGGTCCTTTTTTGAGCACAACTGTAACTACATATTGAGCTTGCCTCCCTTGGTTTTGGGGGGTTTTGTTTGTTTCTTGGTGATTACATTCATATAAGACATCTAAAACCAATTTTGAACAAAGATGCTGCAAATCCACCTGCAAAACAGCAGTAATTACAAATGAGCAAACTTACAGTATCAAGATTTCCTTGAAGACAGCTGAAGAGCAGGACAAACAGATAAACTAATCAAACATACTTCATTAGTCTACAAATGCGCTATTGTTTCTAATAATTAAGTTTGGGTGTTCTGCTTTTTACAAGATAAATTACTGGCAGATTTGATATTGACAATTGGCCATATTGTGTTCAGGGATAAAACATGTAGCAAGACAAACCATTAGATGCAGCTGAGCCTCCAGGCATAGCAAAAAAAAAATCTATCCTAAGTATGAATAAGTGGGGGTGGGGGGTGGGGGGGGTGGTTTTGTTTAACACTAGAATAGCATGAATATTTTCTTCCCACAGTTGAAAAAGCTTTTCTTCCCATAGTTGAAAACACCAATCAACCCAAGTATTAGTAAATGTGAATCTGACCATCCTGCATAGGTGAAACCTGCAAGGAAACATGGTAAACGTGTAGTAAGCACAAACAATTTTTCCAAAAGAAGTAGCTTGCTTAGTTGAAAGTAAGAACTAGTAACAATCACAATTGCTTTACCAACTAAGGGGAGAAGAAAGGTCCATGGACTGGATCCCAACCATGGATTATTTCTCTTTTTTACACTGGCAATTACATTTTCTGTTCCCTTTCAGCAGGCATGACTATAAAATGTACTAATCAGATAAGTGCTTACTCTGAAGTGGAGCATTTTTCGTCCTTAACTTTTTTGCTTTGATGAAAAAAAACAAAGAAAAGGATGTTTGAAGTCCACAGTATAGAATTTAACCACATGCATGGGAATAGAATTGTTTTAGACCACAAATATCAGAATGGTCAGATCTGCATTCTGTTATTTTTGCCCATCATTTAAATCATCTTGGCTGTCCCTTTGTTGCCTTTGACTTCATCTTAAAGATGCTGGTAGATAAAATAATCTAATTGAGGCTCTCTGAATTCTGGTTTCTGGTATGTGAGTGTAAGAAATTATTTCATAGTCAAAAGCATGGGTTGGTTTTTTGTTTGTTTGCTCTCTCCTCTTCCTGTTCCTTAAGAAAAGCTGGGTTTGCTCAGTTTAGTCAGCTCAACAGCCAAATATTGCATCTTCAAAATTTCAAACTGATGCCTAAAAAAGTGCTAAAGTGGTGAGGCGAAGTGTGCTGTAACAGTGATCATACTAGATATACTTTTGCAAATCTCCACATCCTTTTTTTTTTTTCCCCCCACTATAGTTTTAATATTGTTTTTATCCTTAAATCTCTTCTATTCTCATGGCAAAAGTTAAGGACATTTTTTGAAATGCATATGTTTTAATCTGTCAGAGGCTTTTCCTCTTCAAACTAGCCACTGTAATATCTTCAGACAATTATTAATTACTTGTGTTTCAGGCTCGTATTTGCCAGTTGTCCTTCCAAAGACATAATTCTGACACTTCCCAAACCAGGGGCAGAAAGAGATTTACAAATCAGCAAATTCTGCAATTCTGTTTTCATTCCAAACTAGAGTGAAAGATAATTATGAAGCTCCCCACAGAACAGCAATCTGAAAAATGTTGGCTTGCCAATTTCAACAAATTAGAACTGAGGCAGAATAAGAGAGTGCAGGCTTCCAATTCCAAAAGCCCCTGGGTTTGCCACAGAAGCTGGGACTTCCTTGTTCCCTTTCATGTAGTGGGATGGCAGGAGATAGAGGGGAGCATCTGTGATTCTCTGATTTCTAGACTATTGGGGCAAGGAATTTGAAAATCCTTCCTGAGAGGGCTGCCAGGATCTGTAAGGCTCCTGATATTTCTGACTTTAGAAGAAACAAATCTGCTTCATAGGCTGTCTGTGGGCCAAGACAACAGAAGCACTCCCCAGAGTCTGTCTACTGAACTTCTGAGGAGCTCAGTGAGTAAAGCACCAAGAGTTCAAGCAGGATCCCAAGGGAAATGTCTTTGATTTAAAATGTATTCATTAAAAGTTCCCTAACAACTGTAATTGTAGATGAGGAAAAGCAAGTGGTCTGCATAACAATGACTGAACATCCCAGGGAAAGTTGCCAGCAGTGACTGGCTGCAAAGTCAGATGCAGCTAATATAAATCTCACAGAATTTCTGCCTCATGGTGTCTCACAGTGACATCACATCTACACTGACTTAAAACAGTACTGACACCTTTCCTCAGTTTTATAGCCACAAGCTTGCCTGATCTTATTCCTAAACTCTGAAATGCTTTCAGAGTCATCTGACAGTTGTCCACAGGACCCGTAGATCGAGCAACTGAAGACTGATCTGGACCCATGATGTGTCTGAACTGCAGTGTTGGCTCAAACTCTCTTTTTTTATGACACTTTGGACATATGTAGAAATTATTGTCAAAACCAGTTAATATTTGATTAAAAAAAAACCAAACAAAACTAACTAAACCTGTGTAATGTCAAAATAAAACCCAACGCTTTCCAACAGTTTTGTTTTGTTTGTCTAATATTTTTAAGCCACCCTTTTTGTTTCCCTTCATGTAGTCCAGTCTTCTTTCTCTGTTTGCCTACTGGTCTGAAAGACCTGAAAAATCAAGATATATGTCATCGCTTATGTGGCAGCAGTTTGGTGTCTTGGTTCAAGACACAGCCAGGCATATGTTTTGAAGATGGCAAACAGGCCACCTTTTTTGTGCTTAGAAAGCAAATTTTTTTCCACTCAGAGTGCCACATTACAGTATTACTGCGTTCAGTTTGTGGAAGATTCTTAACACTGGAAGATGCTTTCACAAATTTCAAGAAAACACTCTAAAAATATCCAGTAAGCTATAGTGACAAGTGATATTTAGGTTGATATGAAGGTTTTAGTAATCACTCATCTTGCAGGCATTTTAGACAAAAGCAAGCCTGTTCAGAAAGCAGGCTGTGTTACCTACCACACATGCTGAAACACTGTCCCTTCACAAGCGGAGACATAAGCGGATGAATCCTTTCTGAAAGAGCAGCCTTTGGGTAGAAGGAAAAACTGGAAACACTGGAAAGAGTAAAGGCAAAGAACCTCCATCTGGAAAAGGTGAAAACCTTATGAGTCCTCTTCTTTCTCAAAATACTACTTTAGTCCTTGATGTGACTTCTGCAAAGACCACCTTTGCATCTACTAAAATATGCAGGGCATGTAACTACTGCAACTGTTAGTGCTAGTATGCTATTTGACTCTTCTGGAAATGCCACAGGATCCTTCTTTCCAATAAAGTGTACCTTTTCACTTGCAGAATCCATGTTTCAGTTTCTGCTTTCAGATTTCTCTATTGTTCTCTATTGTAAATCACTGTTCATGATTGCTTGTCAACAGCAGTGGCACGGTAGCTCTGGAGTAATTACTGTATTTGTTCTTCATGTTCATGATGCTATAATGTCGGAGGAGTTACAAGAACATATCCACATGCAGGACGTGGCCTCTACTGTTGACTTTAGATCAATTTTTCTGTCACCTAAAGGGAGCTGTTCACTTTATAAGGGGTCCTCTGGTTTCTCAATTCAGCTGTAAATGTTTAGACAAAGTTTACAGGCAGCAGTCCATCAAGATTGTCTTTGTTTGCTGTGGGGATACAAGGGTACTTCCTATCAGCTCCTACTGAGCACTGTACTGGCAAATCCTTAACAGAGGTATTTACTTAAGTAGAATTATTTTGAAAAAACTATTATGTGTGTACATTAGAGTTAATTTACATAGAGACTTCTGCCCCTCCCAGATACTGTGTTACTCAAATTGCTGTAGCTCATGGGATAGGTAACCTGGCAAAGCGAGTTTGGTTGTCCCAGGTACTTTAATTCTGTAGGTAACTTCTCCCTCTTACTGTATGCTGCATGGCAAGAATCATCTCTGGTTCAGTTATATTTACAAGAAAGTGAAAAGGCCTTTTGCAAAACTGAGCTTCCTAATTACTAAAATTAAAAAAGGAAAAAAAAAAGAGAGAGAATCTGCAGTAGAGAATAAAAAATGTTTGTGAAAATAGGCAGTGAGATGGATTCTGCTCTTAGCTGTATAGATTTAAATAAAAGTTGGTTTACTGACATGAAATTTACATTTATATAGGCATAACTGAAAGGCAACATTTGGTTCACTGCTTGTGTTGCAGTGGCAGCTGGGCCTCCTTTGTGCTTGCTGGATAGTAGACACTTCTACATGGTCATACCAAGTTCAATGACCAACTCAAAAGCATGGGAAATGATGCAAGCATCACCTATGCCAGGAGAGAGAAACGTAACTGAAACTTACTTAATTCTGGTCTTAATTCTGTAAGAGAAGTTGCAAGTTTGCAGCCCTTTCTCAGCTAGATAACTGCAAACACTGGCCAGTTACAAAAAACTACTATTTTTTTTGTGTTTGTGGATATTCTGACTTAGCCCTTCCATGCTTTTAAGGGAAGAAGGAGTCATAGGGCTTTAAATGGTGCTGATGATGTAGGAAGAATCTCACTCTGAATTTTCACTCACTTATCTGTACACTTACATAGTATGTTGTGGCAGATACATTTATCTGTTTTCTAAATCTCCCTTGCAGCTAAATAAAACCAAGTAGAACATCATGGTTTCTGTAACAAGACTATGAAGCCTCAGTGGCATCATTGTGCCGCAGTCATACTAAGTGAATGCTGGTGAGGCTGCTTCCAAGGTAGCTCCTAAGACAGGCTCTGAAGAGTAACCTGACCCTGTGCTCCCTGCAGAGGCAAATGCAGGGGAGGAGAGCTGCTCCCTGAACTTTTCTGTT